CCACAGACAGTCCTGGCCTTGACTGGCAGAAGCTTCATCAGTCCTTTCCACTGTCTGGCCTCCTACTAGACTGCTGCTGGGTGAGTGCAGAACACCTGTCCTTTTTGGGTTACTTTCTATGTTTGTGTAACACATGCCAGGGGCGGTATCTCATGTCTCCAACAGCGCTCTTGTGTGTGACTCCCTTGTGCAAATTTTAAAACCACTTTTGTTTGTTTGTTTGGTACCAGGAATCGAACTCGGGACCTTGTGCTTGCGAGGCATGGTGGCACCACTGAGCTAAATCCCATGCCCTTTAAAACCATTTTTAAAGCACTCTGTTTAATGTTAAGGGAAAACCAAAGTATTGCCCAGAGTGACTGCTCGGAATACTGTTTTCCCTTTGCAGGGTATCTTTCCTTGGGTGCCAGACTGGTCTATCTGTCTGCCTCTGTTTTCTCCTGTGGTTCTTGGGCTCTAAATCTGTAGATGTCAGATGGATTCCAGGAGGCAGTAAGTTTTCTTTTGGGCCTCCAGCTCTCCCCATAACCTCACACCTGCCTTCTTGTGATAAAAAGCAGTGATGGTCCTTGGGAAATATTGCTGCAGATTGTAAAGCTGTAATTCAACATTTCCTTTTCTTAGCAGAAACTATCTCTGTAATCTGGAGGAAGGTCTCCTAGGAAGTCTTTCCAAGACTGTTATGGAAAATATGCCACACAAGGATTAGACCACAATGGAAAGAGCCTCCTGGTGAGTAGCCTTCCACTGAACTTCAAGAGGACAAAGGCACTTTAATTAAAACAACCTTGAAATTATGCCTGCTTCTTTGCATCAGGGCTCTGACTCACAGACAGCTACTGATCTGATAGTTTGCAGTCATAGGTAAAATGTCTAATGGATCTTGATTTATTTTTCATTCCTTGGAATGAATCTATTATTTTTACCTTGGTGTATTAGCTAATGTTTGCCATAAAACAAAGCCCTCCAAAATGCAGTGGCTGAACTATTTATCATTGTGCAGATCAAAAATTGGGGCTGGACTCAGCTCTGCAATTCTGCCAGGCTTTCGCAGTCGCCCATTGGCTTCTGGTTAGGTGGGAGCAGGCTCAGAATTTGCCGGGAGACCGGGCTCCTCCTCCACACAGCCTCACCCGGAAGTCAGCCTGCACAGAAGTCAGCCTCAGCCTGCGCAGGCTAACATAGAGACAGGATCAAGAGACTTCGGGCAAGCTACATTGTGAGAGAACTTTGCCAGTCCCTCGTGTCATAACTTCTAGTGACCCATCGGTCAAAACACGTCTCCTGAGTCCTTATGGAAGGGCACTGCCAATTCACAGGCTATAAGGAAGAGTAAACAGGTACAGCCATTCATACAGTAAGTTCACCACACTTGGCTGTTTTCTTCTGCCTCCCACAGTTGCACCTCCTAGGCACTGCATCAGCCCTACACACCGGCCTTACTGGTGTCGCAACGTGAAAAGTCTGAGTGGTTAGACCATCGTGTCTTCTTCCCTGCGACAGCCTGACCTATCACCCTTGAACTCGGGCTGTGGAGAAGTAACTCGAGGCAAGAGCTGCTCACAAGGTCCCAGATGTAGATAACCACCATGAGTGCTAACGAAACATAAGGCAGTCAGCCACAAAAATAGATTTGGGGATCTTCATCTTCCAGGAAACAATCACAACACCATCTTAACGACTCCTCTCCCCTTTCCTTCTCTTCTTCCTGCCTAACTGAACTTCTTGTCACTCAGCTGAAGTTACCTGCTATTTTGATCAAATCAAACCCTAAGGAATTTGGCACTAAATGAAAATGGGAAATCAGTTGCCTCCCACTCTCCCTAACTTGGGAACTGCCAAGAAAAATTGGGCTTTTCAAACGTGTTGTTTCAGAGTTTAGAGCTGCTTTCAATGGTAGTAATACAACACCCACCCCCACGACCCCATTCTATCCAAAATCTCCAAAGAGACAGCAGAAAAAGCTATTCTACCAGTTACCTCACATAACCCCAAATTGCTTTTCATATCCATAAAGAGAGGCCATTTAAGAATATTACCTCAGGGTGTCGAATTCAATCGAATGGTTCCACTTCGTATAATTCTGTATCTTCAGGGAGTGGTCAGACCTTTTCTATAGTGAAGATGAATAAGTCCTTCACAGGAGATGCTCACCAGGTATCCTGGAATGTCAATACCCTTCATCCTTCCGAGAATCTTTTGTTCCATATAAAAATGTTTCAGACACAACTCGGTTGTCTAATGTTCATTTAAATAATTTTGTTTTAGAGCAAGCAAGCACAGCTTTTTAAGTTAAGTCATTGATCGTATGACACAGCTGATGCAGAAATGAGTAATTTTGTGAACTCAGTCTCTTCTTTCAGAACAGCACATCTGCATAACCAGAAAGACCATTCGCTTGCCGAGCACACGTCTGTTCCATGCCCCACGTCAGGCTGTGAATCCATGGAGTCTGTCCTCAGGGCCTGTCTTACAGACAAGCGAGGGAGGTAGACCAGAAGCAGACAGACACGTAAAATAGTTAAAATTACGTGTGCCATGGAGAAAGCATAGTAGTGGCCAAGACAGAAAATAGCAAGGGCCTGCTCTTCAATACTGTCAGAGAAGAGCTCCCGAGGGTTGAAAATTAAGCTGAGACTGGAGAAATCTTCAGGCCTGGTGATGTGAATTGTGGAGAAAGCACCTTCATACCTCAGCAAGCAGCCGGTGCAGAGGAAAGAGCTTTCTGTGGTCAGGGAGTTGGAAAACTGTGATTGTGCTGCGGGCATCCTGAGAGAGAGGAGCAGCACCCAAGACTGGCAAGGTGGAGAAGGGTGGGAGCAAGCAGTGCAGCCAAACCCACGTGAAGCCTTTGGACTGCACTCTGAGCGGGCAGTGGGAATGGTCAGCTGGAGAGACGAGATCTGGTTAGTGAGTTTATCTGCTGGGTGCACCATTACAGGAAAGGTGAAAGTAAAAGCTAAGAAATCAGGAAAGAGATAGACATGGTAGTGCATGCCTGTCGTCCCAGTGTTCTGGGAGGCTGAGAAAAGAGACTTTCAAGTTCAAGCCCACCTGGGCAACTTGGCCCCTGCCTCAAAACGAAAACTGAAAAAAAAAGGGATGGCGATGCAGGTCAGTGGGAAAGCTCTGGGTCTGTTCCCCAGTACTGCCTCCACCGAAAGGGTTCCTGGCAAGGGACGATAGAGGATTAGTCCTACACTTAGCAATGGTGGTAGAGGAAGGTGAGTCTATATTGCAGATAGGTTTCAGTCATTTACTGGTAAATTGATGTGGTGGTGGTGGTGAAATGAAGGAGGAATCAAGGGGGCATTTGCACATCCAAGGCTCAAAGCCTCCTCAGAAGCAGTGGGGTCCCACTGAGGTGGGGAAAAGCAGGAAGGACAGGAGAGCCAGGAGGAGGACTTAAGTATTCAGTTTTGAATCAAGTTTGAGACATCTTTCCATTTAGGGGCTACTATAAAAATGTATTTAAATGGGGCCGGGAATTTAGCTCAGTGGTTCTGGCACCTGCCTGGCAAGCACAAGGGCAAGAGTTCGATCCCCAGTACTGCCCCCCGCAAAATGTAAATTTAATGTCAAGCTTGACTACTCATAATTTTACTTGCTCCAAATGGTTAGACCATTTTACATTCCCACCAGCAATATATGAAACTTACACTGATTTCTTGTCCTCACTTTGGTATTGACAGAGAGATTTTAACTTCCATTCTACCGTTGGATAGAGAATCACACTACTTGACTCCAGTTGCAGCCTGTGACTGCCTTTGTACATGTGCTGTATATATTTTTAAAATACACATATGCTATAAATACAGTGTAGCATTCTGTGAATATTGGAAAATCATGTACATCTTTGCTAAACATTTATCTAGATATTTCATCCACTAAAGGTTAATAACATTAAACTTTCAGTGACAAAGATTTGTCTTCTCTATTAATTTTGCCACGTATTTTGAAACTTGTTCATTGGCTGAACGCACATCCATCATTATTATGTCTGCCTGGTAAATCAACATCTTCACTACTATGAAAATTCCTTATTTATCTCTGATAATACTCTTTGCTTTGAGACCTACATTTTCTGATTGATGTGCACATTTTTAGCCTTCTTATGCTTAATATTTGTATGGTATATTGTTCTTCTAACCATTGACTCTCATGCTATTTGTGCCTTAAGTACAATGGAGTTTCTTTTCAGTTTTAACTGTACCATCTTTGCCTTTGAATATTTATGGCATTAAAATGTAGCCTAATAATTGGGAGTTTGGAAATTAGATCTGTCATTTTATTATTTCTTTTCTGTTTTGTTCTTTTGTCATTGCTTCTCATTTCCTGTCTTCATGTGGGTATTTGACTATTACTCTATTCTTAATTTATTCATTGGCTTTTAGTAGCACATATATGTTTAAGTGAGTGGTACTGAATTTTATAACAGTATTAGTAATATGAAATAGAGCTCAATAATTCCTACTTATGATCTACAGTATGGAACAAGATTTGGAGCTTAATGATCTAGACTCAAGCAATGGACACTAAAAGGGTCCTGAACACTTCAAGCCTGCCTGTTTTCTTCTATGCATAATCTGCTTTTTAAAATTCTGTGTTTCTGCTTCATGATGTCTGTGCTGCTTGACTGCCATTTCATTCTCTGTGAAGTCCATGCATTTACGTTCCCTGCAGGTGAAGCCGTTAGCAGGAGACTGTAGTTGTTCTACAAAGAAAAATGCAGTGTAGGTTAGCATCGCTGTCTCTGCTAATTACCACTTACAACCAGATCAACAATACAAATGCTGTGAGAGTTGATGTTACTATTCCCAGGAAGCACGTTTTTATTCTGTTCGAGGCAAGAATGCCATAAAAGCCGCTTAATCACCTTAGAAATAAAACATAAACATATTGGAAGTGCTGGGGGCCCTTTTAATTAATTCCATATCACAAAGTAGACTTGTCTAGGCAGGAGAAGTCATAGAAGTTAAGATGAATTTGTTTATGCCCGAATGATCGTTCTGGTCTTTCCTTCCCATGGCAACAAGCTCATCTCTCTGCTGACGATTTCACTGCAGGCAGAACCAGGGATTAACTCTTCTGATGCCTTGGTGTGGTGGCTCCAAAATGCTTACTATCACTGGAGAGAATGAAAAAAATATGTATATATGTTTTTTTAATACTTTCATACTATTTAGCAATGAAAAAGAAGGACTCACCTGAACAAGCATCAAAGCATGTTGCTCAGTGAAACATCACAACTGCAAAACAGCCCCTTATCTTATGAATCCACTCATGAAAACTTCTAGAAAAGGCAAAACTGTAGTGACAGGGATGTAGAGTGATGCTTACTTGAGTGCTGCCGGCACAGAAGATTGACCCAAAAGGGCAATGAAGAAACTTATGCACAAGAAGTGTGTCTTATATCTTGACTGTGGTGGTGATAATACAATTGCATACAAAATATAATCACATTGCCTACTTATACATAGTAAACTTTATTGTCTGTAAATTAAACACAAAAAGCCATCAAAATATTAAAAATGAACAAAAAATCAAACTTCAAATTGTTGCAAAGACAAATAGTATTTTAATAAAATTTTCATTAAAATAGAGGCAAAATGAATTATCAATCTGTGTGGATTTGCAAAGGGCAAGATGAAAGTCCTGTATACTCAGTATGTTTGCTTGACTTTGCTGCACTACCAGAATTTCCAATGTATACTAGGAGTTTTATTCATTATATTTAAAAATGAGAACCCTGACCCTTGAGAAATCGATATTCTGTACATCTGTTAAATGGAGCACCTCTCACATCTCAGCTAAATTGCTTATTACATTACAAACACATAGTATGCAATAAATCAGACTTTGCATGGATTTGAAGTGGATTAAATTAATCAACTCAGTTTTCACTGTAGCTATGTGTGCCATTAACGCCAGCTCTTCATTTCTCCTGCAACCGTGGGCAGAAGCCCAGGTTGCTAAGTGTGTGGTGTTCCTGTGCCACCCACTTGCAGTAAAGTTCATGCGTACGCTCATTATTTTTAATAGTTTAATTGCTCCAAAGAGCTCTCTCTATGTCAGACTCCAATCTAAACACACATACTTTTATTTAAGCTTTCCAAGGTGATTCCAGCCTCCACTGAGTTTTTTTCTTATTTCCTGAATACATACAGTAAATGTGGTACTTTTGACATGTGGTGGCACCTAATTATATAATAATCTTCGCAGTGGTAACAGACAAATTGAGAAATAGGGGTTGGGATACTAGAAAGCAGGTAACTTTCCTAGATGAGGAATATTGAGTGTTTTTGCAGTTGAAGTGTGGAAAAGAGAAGAATATTGGGGCAAATGTTTTAGGTGTGGGTTTGGGGACTATTCCTTCCCGACAGAGGCCTTAGAGAGGCGAGGAAGAGCTGAGAAATCCAGGCCAAAGCGCTCTGCATCACTGGGGTGCTGAGGTAGCCATGGGCAGGGTTAGTGACCCTAAGACTTCTCACCTGGCTGTTTCAGTTTAATAGCCACTAAGGAGCATCTTTAAATTGATTGAGAGATTAATATCAACATTGTATTTTCATTATGTTTTGTCTATGCAATATTCTTATAGCTCAGCTGAAAAAATCTTGGAATCAAAATGCTCTAGTACTGTTTTCCTTGTCACAATGCCTTGACAGCAGCAAAGTATTCTCAATAATTGATTTTTTGTTAATGTAGACTACACAGAGCAAAGATTTCTTGGCTTCTGTGTATGGGTTCTATGGTAGATAAGCCATAGATTCTCCCAGACGAGTTAGTATAATCAATTACTACTAGAAATGACAAAAGTTGTTTTTCTCCTTGGTCCAGTAATTTCATTTTTAAAGCTATGAGGTATGATCAACAATATAGTGAATGCTTCGATGTTTATAAAATAAAAGACATACTGCCATTAATTGCCCTCAAAACACTCCCCTTGCTTTGAACCCACTTATCCTACCGTTCTTGACATTTTCTGAAGCAGCTCTGGAGGTCTGCTTGTGTGAGTGTCTTTGGTGGTGCTGTTAAGGTTGCCTCGATGTCTTGAGTCTTTTCAAAACATTTGCCTCATTGCCATTTTGACTCTGGAGAAAATCTAAAAGTCACATGGTGCCCGATTCAGTGAATAAAGTAGATAAGAGCACGCCACGATGTTTTCATGAGCCTGCCTACCCACGGAATGGCACTGGACAGCAATATTCACCAGCTTTTTATCACACCTCGTAAAGTCACTCACAAAAGAGGACCTCCAGAACTGCTTCAGAAAGTGCCAAAAACCATGAGTTAGGTGTGTTCAAAGCAGGAGTCACAAATGTCAGTGTGTCTTTTAATGGAATAAATATTTTCCTTTAAGCACTCCACATATATTTTGATAACACTTCCTATAGCCTAAGTAATACTAAAGGGTATGTTAAAATATTTAGCCATATATATAATGAAAGAGATAGAGGAGCAGAAAGAGAGTAGACAAAAGAAGAAAACAAAGAAGGAGGTGTAGATGGATGAGCTGCTTTTGATCCAGATGCCTTGCGTTTTGTTTTCCAGTTCTAGACTGCAATTGAGCTGACTCATTCAATGAATAGAACTGTATGTTCCTCTTCACTCACGATTCTCATTGCATGAAGAATATTTTCATCATTAAGTAAATGACACACAGAATAAACACTTCTTTTCAGAATAAAGTTTTAAGACACACCATGGTATTGTTACCCAATATGGCTTTGGAGAGTGACTGGGAATGTGTTTAGCTGTGTCTCTTGTTTCTAATCATTATGTTAAAGCTGTGCCTACAGTTACTCGGTGCGAGCAACCACAGAGAAAAGGCTTGTTTTCCCAGTCCCACATTAGCCCAGGCAACCAACATGGCTCAAATGGGGATGGGATGACGGACTGGGGCTGCTTTAGTACAAATCCCATTATTCCTATTTAAGTTTAATAGTTGCATGCTCTCTCACCAGGAATCCGAAGGGTCATATTGATAATTGTTATTGTTGAGATGACAATTTCAGTATGTTATGTAAAGAAGTAGACTTTCCAGATTCATACATCTCAGGGATAGTCAAGAGGGCAGCAGCTGCCTGGGATAAAAAACACATTTTGATCTAGGATTAGCTACTGTGTTGCAGGGCTCTGCATTATTTCCTCTCAATGGCTGCCTGGAAATGAGTTTTGTTAGTCAGATAATGAGCACAGTGGCAGACACTGAAATAGTCACTGGAAGATGAAGCTCCTCCACCTGGGGGCGAACTGTCACTGGTGCTTGTTCCTGGGGAGATCGACTCAGAGCACAGAATGTCATCTTTTCTATCCTTCTCTGGAAAGCAAATGCAGAAGCTGTACTCAAGGAGGCTTCATCGCATAGAGTTCTTAAGAAAAACAGTTAAGAAGTATGTTAACAGAAGGGTTTTTTTAAAGCTGAATTGCTGTTAAATGAAGGAGAATAATTCATGTTTCACTTCATGATGAGAGTAGCAGAAATTTGATGGTCATCACCATCTTGCACCCAGCAGGAATTTTCTCTGTAGAAGAGTATGGGTAGGTAAATCAACTCCCTGCCTTCAGCCTGGTGGAATTTTCTGACCTAGGTTATTAATAGGTTCAAAATTGTGTGCAATAGGCTCAGGAACCAATTGAACCAATGAACACCTTCATGAAGAATCAATTTAAGGAAAAACAATTTTCCCCATTTCTATTGAAATTGGAAATCTCCAATTACCCAAATAATTGAGCCATAATCCAAAGGTCGATTCATAAGTATAGTGATTTTTTCCAATGTTTTTGTCCAAACAAAATATGGTCACATACCATAGCCTCGAGTTGGAAAATGATAGTAACAGAATTTTACAATCGCAAAGTTATCCATTCAGCAACTATATTCCTCACTTAATAAATGAACTAATTACCAAAGAAGTCACATGCTGCACCTACAAAGTTAGGACGAGAGCCCAGGTCATTAACCCTGAATTCATAGAATTTCTCCTTACTGGTTTTTGATTCCTTAGACAAAGGTTGAGTGCTACTGTGCTTCTGTTACCGACAAAAGTATAGGAAATGCAATGAGTAATAGTATGGCAGTCATTTCGTTTCCCATATATTGTGTATTCCATTGGAATAGAATAGTGTAAGATTAAAAATAAGTAAGTATGGGCTGGGGATTTGGCTCAGTGGTTCTGCTACCTGCCTCACAAGTACAAGGGCCCAAGTTTGATCCCTGGTACCAAAAAGTAGAACAAATTGTCAAAAGGTTAAAAAATAACTTTTTGGAAAGTTGTAGTTGCAACAAAGAAAATAACATTTAGCAAGTGGCTTCTGAGTATTTAGAGATATGAGTGTTATTTAAATAATTATGGGCAACGAAGAATGATTTATTTTAGTTCATGTCTGTAGAAGTTTTAGTCCACATTTGGCTGGTTCCAAAGAAGGGCAGCGTGGTAGAGGAAAAACAGTTCACGGCGTGGCAAGCAGAAGGCAGCTGCCTTTCTTCTGGTTTCCCTTTCAGTCCATCCAGGCTACAAGCCTACTGGTGGGTGCCACCCACACCAGGGTGGGACTTTCTTCTTTGGTAAGTCCATCGTCCACACCCAGAGCTGTGCTAGGCCTATCAGGGGACTGATCAGCATCACATGCCCATGACGCAGTCACTCCCAAAAGCCCCAGCAACGAGCAAATGAGGCATTGGGGGCATCTAGATATTCGCTATAACTGGAGAGTGTTTAATTCTTTGCTTTACTTAAAAAGACATGTTAGAAAGGTAGAGCAGAAACTAACCGAGGGAAAAAAAAAGCATTAATACTACTCTTAGAATCACTGTATTTTCTACCATCTTTGGGAGTCTCCATTTTGGATATAAAATAGCCTGCCTAGAGAAAAGACAATAGATGAATAACAATTACTATTACATGGTTATAGATATATTCAGATTTACACGCTCCCAGGATTAAATGGTGGGAGCACATTATTTAGGCACTTTGGAGATTTCTTCATGCAGCGACTCCCCTGATATGGCTAGAATATTCTGCCCTAATTGCCAAAATTATGATATTGTTTCCAAGTGATTATTCATTCATCAATATAGGATTTTCAGCTGACAACAGAAATTTTTCCAAAGAAAGTATTTAACTTTTTCATATTCAGCTTGGTTCTAAATGGCAGAAATCTTGTGGCAATAATTTAATTCGCAATTAGCAGTAGGAGCTAACACTACTGTTTCTTTCAGTAGATTCTAATCATAAATAGTAAAAAAAAAAGTAAAATAATAAGAATTCTAGTTAAAATTTCAAGTGATGTTCTATCTGGACCTTTTATATAATCTGTGATGGGCTAAATAAAGGCATCTGACATTCTACATTTCAAAACCACAATGTCTTACATATGCTGGTGTTAGAGTAATTTGGATTTGTGTCCCTTAAACTAGTCCTCAGATGCAGGCATTAATTATTTTCCAAACCAGTGGTTCCCAAATTTTCAGATTTTATAGGCCACTAAAACGATTTTCCCCATACTGGGAGTACCAATAAAAGATTTCCAGATTTTGATTTTGCTAACCAGAGTGTGCTAAAAAGCTACCAGTCTCTAATATTGCCTTGTCATAAAAGAAAGTACGTTAGAACCCTCCAAAATTAGGAAATACAGTTACAGAAAAATTCAGTAGGTTTTCTGGAGTAAAACTTGTTAAACAAGTTTAAAACTCTGCCAGAGAAACCAGTGCCAAGAGATTATAGATAATAAGATCATGTATGTGTGCATTGAGGACAGAGTCCAGTGACAGTAACCATCTAACAAGTGCTCCTTGTTGAGCAGAATCCAGGACTCTCCTGGCTGTACACGTTATGCGGAGGCTCCCATTTCTTTCTCTGCGTGCAGTCGTGCAGGCACCTTGGCCCTTCGCTGTAGCACACTCCTTCCTCCATAGGCCCAGGACCCAAAAAGGAAGGGCTTCCCAGTGACTCGGGGGGACACGTGGGGTGGTGTGGTGCACGCCACATGCTTCATGCTAGTGGTTTTCATCCCTGACCGCACTCTGCAGACATCTGGAATCTTTCACCAAGTACAAAGGCCTGGATCCTGTTCCCAGAAACTTTGATATAATTCCTCTGGGAAGGAGACAAGACATAGGTATTTTTAAGCTCTGTAGGACGATCTACAGACTTGGAAGGGTTGAGGTGCAATTTCTTAAGTAGTTGTTGGGCCCTGATTGCTTTCTTAGTTTCTTACTTGTGTGCTTAAAAATGAAGTTATAATGGTAAAATATGCACTGGCTTATTTGATGCTATCTATCTCAGTTTGAAGATTTAAAAAAAAAACCTTTAAAAAGAAAGAAGTGATATCCTGAAAGAATATTTTTTTTGTAGTTCGGAGATACTATCCGAATATGATTGGTGGAGGGTGTGGGATCTAGCTCAGGAATACCACTACCTCTGAGCTACATCCACAGCCCTTTAAAATTTTAATGCTGAGACAGGCTTTGATTCCCAGGAGGGACTGTTTTGATCTTCCTGCCTCAGCCTCTTAAGTACTGCGATGACACCACTATAAATATGGTTTTAACCACGCGATTTAGTGCACTGTCATTCTGGGGATAAAGGTTCGATGTGAGGCCGAGACTCCGCGAAGTGGGGAAATGAGCACAGAAGCTGTGTGTGATGCTCTGACCGGTTGCTTGAGCAGCGTCTCAGCAGAAGGAAGACGCACACTGTTGGATCTTGCACACTCAGAAGCGCTGGGAGAAGTAATGAACACTTTCCATCTGCATGGCACCAGGCCAACACCAACGAAAGGTCTGCAGATTGTGCTCTCCTGGGCAGCACATACACTAAAGGTCTTCGGGTTGCCAGAAAATGCCAGCCTCTTCTCTAGGTATGAAGAAGAACTAAGGCTTGGATTCATGGCTCACGGTCAATGAACCACAACAGACAGACTTAGCAGTGAGGCTGATGTCCACCTGCAAAGTACTGAATGTCTCCACGAAGTGTAGAAATATTTTTAGTGTAAGTATTTTGGGGTGACACCACCAAGAATGGTAAAGAGCCCCCGAAAGCTTTTCCTCCAGTAGCTCACTGGAAAACATTGTTAGAAGCAACATTTGTAAAACTCTATAAATCAGTCCAAGGATTGAAAGAACCATGCAGGCATTTACTCATATACTAACAAAACATTAATTACATTTGTTGCGTTTTAACTTTCCTCATTACCATTACACTCCGCACAACCCAGGGCTAACCTTGGAACCCAACAGCCTCGATATAACCAAGCTAGCAGCCACTTGGAAGGGCAGAATGAGGGCAGAGCTCCTGGAAAGCCCCATCTCCAAACCAAAGGCGTTTTCGATCTGTTTGATCCTTGAAGAACCATCTCACAAGCATTCCCATTGTTTGATCTGACCTGTGTCTTCCCAGGCTGGCTGCAGTAGCTCTTTCTCTGGAGCATTTGTTGCAAAGTGGTGGCGATTGTGTAACACTGTTGCTCCTTCGTATGGTGGGGTAATTGTGTGTATGTTTCTAAAAAGAATCACTAAAAAGGAAGGGCAGAAAAGTGAATGGGTGGCCAAAGGAAGATTTAAACAATTCTGACATATTCCAGAGAATGTCTCAATTCTAACTTCTGGAAGAGCTGAGGCTCTGCACACCAGGATATGACGGCTAAGGCAGAGTCGTCAATGACTTGGTCCCTGAGGAAGCATGCCCACGTGTGGAAAGAGCCCCTTGCCAATCCCAAAGACTTATCAATTCGTCTATTTCAGGAGAGCTGTGCGTCACCCAGCCATGTCCACCTGGCCCACAGGCTTTAGGTAGCCCTGGACAGCTAATAATGCAGCCCCCAAGGTCATAAACTTTTAACCATAGTATGGGATTTGTATCGGATATTTTTAGTGACTCAACTTTGTGGTTCTGGAGGGCAGAGAGCACACAGGTGACAAGAGGATGCCGTGTGGAGGAGAGCGCAGTACAGTGCTAACTCCACCCCCATGAGTGTCACACACAGTAGAACGTCAGACTTTACATGTACAACTTGGCAGGTAAAACATGACCCATGATAATGCTGTTGCAACCCTACCCAAGCATGTACG